AATTCCCTTGCGCAAACAGATCAATAGTCTGCGTTTCTGATGGGTGCACTTGATAAATGAGACTGAGCTGACATTGCACGTTGGATACAAACCCAGCCAGAATCCAAACCCAAACGAACAAATAGGAAACAGAAAACCCAAGGACAGGATCATCAGTACTGTCAACCAGTCACAGGCCTTGGGTAGAAATAACAACTGAAACCTCCTGTTCCCTAATCTAGGAAGAGGACTGTCCATTCTTCGGGTTTATCTGGGATGGATTCAGATGGGAGAAAGATGTGCTAGAATCATCCCCCCAATGTACTCAACACCTGCTATGACTCAGGCAATGTGCTAACCTCTGGATGTAGAAAACACTCATAGGGCAGGGTTTGGAGGAAAGCTTAAATAGTTAAATTAAAATAGACTCTTTAAAATTTTAAAATAAAAAAGGAGGAACAGAGGAACAAACACTGAAAAGGGACAAAGCAAAATAAATATTAAAATGTGGACCTCAATACTTTATATTAATATTACATTAAATATTAATGGACTAAGAATCTCAATTAAAAGCAGAGATTGAGAATAAATACAAAAGCAGGATTCAACTATATGCTGTCTGTATTTCAAATTTTTAAAAGTATGAGTAAAGATATGCTGCTTCAATATAGAATAAGAAAGCTAAAGTAGTTATATTAATATCTGATAAAGTAGATCGAGTCAGAGTGTTATCAGAGATCAAGAAAAATATTCCATAATTAATATGTCAATCAGAAAGTCATTAATCATAAATGTATATGCATCTAATAACAAAGCTTCAAAATATATAAAGCAAATATTTACATAAATAATTGGAGAATTCCACAATATAATAGGAGACATTAATAGCTCTCATCTGATGGAATAATTAAGCAAAAAAAAAGAAAATCAATAAAGACTTATCAGTGGTTCGTAAAATGTGAACCAGGGATCCCTGAAGTGTTCCTAAGACCTTTATAGGTGGTCCACAAAGCCAAAACTATTTTTACAAAGTCATAAGACTTTATTGCCTTTTTTTTCTTTTAATTATTTATAAGGATACAGCAGAGTTTTCTTATTTTTTAATATTTATTTATTATTGTATTACTTATTTTTTTTATTTTGGTGGGGAAGTAATTAGGTTTATTTTTAGAGGAGGTACTGGGGATTGAACCCAGGACCTCATGCATGCTAAGCACTTGAGTTATACACGCCCCTCACAGCAGAGTTTTCTCAATGCTGCAAGATATGTGATATTACAACAGATTGAAAGCCAGATCCAATTATCTCCTATTAAGCCTAACATTAAAGAGATTTGTAAAAATATAAAGCAATGCCACTCTACTCACTGAATTTGGTTTGTAAAACAGATGTTGGTTTCTCAGTTTTGGGATTTTTAAAAAATTTTATTATGTTAATATATTATATCTGTTAACATTAGTGAATTGATTATTGCTAGTTTTAAAATGAAACCACTTCAGAACATACATTCTTTTCAAGTCTACAAAATACATTCACCAAGATAGAGCATATGCTGGGGCATAAAGGAGGTCTCAATAAATTTAAAAGAAAAGATCATACAGAATATGTCTTCAACGACAATGGGATTCAACAATGAAATGAAAATAAAATCAATAATGATATGACATCTAGAAAAAACCGAATATTTGGAAATTAAACAATATACCTTTAAATAATATACAGGTAGAATAATTACTCAGAAGAGATCCTAGAAAATATTTCAAATTGAACAAGAATGAGTATACAGCATATCCAAAATCATGAGATACAGCTAAAGGACTGCTGAGAGGGAAATTGATGGCTCTGAATATATGTATTAGAAAAGAAAAAAGGTCTAAATCAATGACCTAAGGGTCTACCTTAAGAAGCCAAAAACAAGAGCAAAGGAAAAGGCAGCTTGACACTTCCTGTTCTCACTAGGATGGGGTGGTATAGCTCTGTGGTCAGTTTGGAGTGGAGGAAGATGAGCCATTTCAAGGTACTCCTTTAAGAACTCCTAAAAGTGTACCCGGGCTTAATTCCTTCTAAGTTAATTTTTCTTTCCCCGCACCCTTCTCATGGCAGCCATTGGCAAACTATTGAACTAGGAGACAGGAGAATTTTCCACTGTTAGCCCCTCCTCCCAGCTTTACCTCATATCAGTGAGGCTCAAGGAGGGGCATTCCTGAAATTCCACCTCTCCCCAGCCTGGCTCAATCAGGGGACTAAAGTCATCCCTCTGATTGGGAAACACTTTGTCCATGTTCATTCATTCATTAATTCATTCATTGATATATTCACTGAAGAGTGGTTAATAAAGTATAGAGATTTTCTGACATAGCTCTACGGAAGATCCAGTTCTGCAATTTACAAGCAGCCCAGCCAAGTTACTTGTTCTCTTTGAAACTCAGTTTTACCATCTGCAAAACAGGAATAATATAACCACCTATTTCCTATGGCTGTTGTAAAGACTGAATTGTATAATGCACCGAAAGGATTCAGCCTGGAGCCTGGCCCATGGCAGGGGCTCCATCACTGGGAGCCATTACACCTTGGGTAAGGTTCTGAGGAGCTAGACATGGACCTAGGCCCAACCCTGCAGGCTGCAAGTGGTCTCACTTGGTCCTCCAGACACGCACTGCCCTCCTACGCCCGCCTTACCCTGGATCCTCAGGCTCTCTTGATATTGGATGATAAAGTACTCTTGAGTCTGCTGGAGCTTCTTCAACTCATTCTCTGTGTCCTGCGTGACCAGTCGCAGCTCCTCAAATGTCTGGTTGATCTGAAGGTGTTTCTGGGACATGGCATCAACCAGGATCCCAGCAGAAGAACTACCCTAGAGACAGATCAGGGGAGAGTGTGGGCAGCAGTTAGCTGGGCAGTGAGGATGTGAGAAAACCTCAGGCCTCAGGGAACGTCAATACTACTACTCCAAATCTAGAATAAGAAGGAAGGGGAATTTGAGTCAAAGAGTTGCCAGAATTGAGGTGGATGGCGGAACAGAAGGAGAACTATGTGACCTGGTAGACGGTGGCATCTTCATAAACTATTGTGGGAATTTCTACTGTAGTCCTCCACCAGAGTATCCCACACTGGGTCCATCTGAATTCTCTCAGAGAGACTAGAACCCAACACATCCTAGGAGTTACCTGGGTTTTCCTACTAACAGTGATGACCCCTCATTTCAGTTGTTCACTGACCTGATGCCATGACTGTGCCGGGTGCTGGAGACATAGTGGGGGACAAGGCTGTGTGAACACACATCATCTGTGTCCTCCCTTAAGACCTTCTTGTGACTGAAGGGAGAGCATGAACCTCTCATAGGCGGTGTCCCCAAATGAAGACCCAATGGAGACTCCAAATGCAGTTACTGGGGAGGCTTCACCAGGGCTTTGTGGATCCAGACACTGAACTGGCCCGGTCTGATCTTTTCCTTCAACCAAGTCTTTTGTGCCTTTCCAATTAACCACTCTCAGGATAAAATCCAAACTCCTTCCCATAGCCTCCACTGCCCTTACTGACAGCCTCTGCCTACTCCAACTGCCAGCCCCACTGCTGCCCAAGCACACTAGCTACTTTGTGTTCCTTGAATACACAAGCATGTTCCTGCCTCAGGGCCTTTGCACTTGTTATTCCATCATTCTGGAACATTCTGGTACCAAACCTACCTGTGGCTGGCACCTTTTCAGAGTGACCTTCTCTGACAAACCAATTTAATGTAGCCCTGCTCTTACCAAAATTATCTTGTTTTTGCATCTCCTTCTTTCTTATCTACTTCCCTGCTCTAGGATATGAGCTCCCTAAGGGCTGGGACCTTGTCTATCTTGTGCACCACAAAATCTCCCAAACCCAGAACATCAGAGATGTTCAAGAACAGCTTGATGGCTGGGAGAAGGATGATCTTCCCCACAACCAGGACAACATTGGCATCTTAGGCATGATTTTTAATTGAAGCTGAATCCATTTGTACCTGTACAGATAGCTCTGTCATTGCACCAAGTCAAGGGTTGTACTAGTTGACCCTTGGTGACCTGGCTTCTGCTTCTGCCCGTTCTCTGGTTTTACTGATGGGGATCCCCAGTTGGCTCCCTTCTCCCCAGTAGCACTGACTACTTGCAAGTCTTTGCATGCGGTAGGATGGCCGGTGCCTTCCTACTGTCTCATATACTGCGGTTACTTTTGACTAGAAAACTCATCCTGCCTCCTTCCCTTCTTTCCCCCTTTCCCTTTTTCAGACACCTCTTTCCTCAGGACACCCCCTGCCAGCCTGCCCCAATCTGAGTTGGGTCCTTTTTCCATATATGCCCCCTTAGCACTCAGCTGACCCCTAGAGAATCTATCATCATCGGAATTTCCCCTAGGCAGGGACCAGGACTTATCTGTTTCTCCTGTCTTAGTCCATTGTCAGAAACACAGCAGGACCTCAATTAACATTTACTGAATGAACACTCAAATTCCTGAAATCAGTGTCCACAACAACAAAAAATTAATAAATAGGACTCGTGCTCCAGGCACTATTCTGTGGCCTTTACCTATGGGATATCATTTTATGAAACTCACTTTGCTTTCTTGGAGATGATAGACCATTTGTACCAATGTTCAAGCAGATATCTGATGCCTTTAAGATTTCAGAAATTCAGCCCTCTGCCTCTTTGGGCTGCGCCTCCCTGAGCTTGCCTGGGTTAGTCTTTCTGACACAGACCTTGGCTCCATTCCTCCCCACAGACAGCATCAGAGGGAATTTTTTATTTTGGCCACAGCCCCATGTATTGAATGACAAATCTTTTCCCTGGTGATTTTTAATGCCATCTCTGACAACGATTGAATTTCCAGATGTGTATGTGTGTTTTTAGGGCTTTCTCTTCAGTTTCATTTGTCTTTTTGCCTATCCTTTGTCCACCCAGTATCTGCTGTAATCCTCACAATAGCCCTATCAGGTAGATATTATGACTATCCCCATTTATAATAGAAAAAACAGAGGCTCAGAGAGGTTAAGTAACTTGCTCAAGTCACACAGCTAGTAAGTAGTAGAGCCAGGGACTGAAGCCAGGGGGTCACTCTACATCTACATGTGATACTGCATCTCCCACTGGCCCATGTCCTTTATTTCTTTGGTGCTCTCTCATGCCAGTGTTGATAAGACATAGTTGTGTCTGGAGAGAAAGATGGGTGGAAGGACTTCCCAGCTCCTCTCCCCATATCCATGGGACACTCACATTGTTGGCTTCTCGGACCAGTCTCTGTTCATTGTACAGAATATGGCGGATGCAGCGGACAAGCTCCATGGGGCAGCGGTCATACGTGTTCTGAAAGAATCCAACAGCAGCTACCAGTGGCCAGCCTTGACCATCGCAGTGTCATGCCCATCCATTCCTCTCCTCCAGCCTCTGCCTCAGCTTCCCCTGGGAAGCCTCAGTAACTGTCACCAGAACCCCTAATCTCTCCTTGACTCGATTTCCCCTCCCAGATCTTCACATTTGGTTTGCAGTGTGTCAGAATGCCACAGTTGACAAAGCACTTCCAACCTGCCATCTCCTTTGATGTTTGCATCATAGAAACCCTATGACATAAGCAGAAACTGTTATCCCCATTTGACAGATGAGAAGACTGATGCTCAGAAAGGTTAAGTCCTTGCCCAGAGGCAAACAAGTGAGGGAGCAGATAGATGACTCAATGCTCAAGGGAATCTAATGTCAAGGTCAAGTTACTTTCCACTATAGTCCTGGCCCTGGCTTCCTATTTTGCTTCCTTCTTCCCACCAGGTTTCTCCTGTTTCCTACCTCTTCTGGGATGGACTTTTTATTTCCCTAGCACTCTGGGCCTTATATTTAAGAAGAGTGCAACAAATATTCAAGTGAGTTCCAGTAAATGCTCAACTATGATTACCACCCACACCCCTTTCCTACTTCCACAAAAACTTCCTCTCTCCCCTATACTCCTCCTCACCATGCCCTAACGTGAAGGAGAAGCTACATCTTACATCAAAACCCTTAATTAAAGCCTCCTTTATCCAGATCTTGCCTCCAGGACAACTCTGCTCCTCTCCCACCCCACTTCATTTCTAGAATCTGTTAGTCTTTCCTTTCTCCGACTAAGGAATCTTAACTCAGTCTACCTCCATCTCTTCTGCTTGATCTGCCTAGAATGCAAGTTCACCCATCCCCCTTCTCTGGGGGACAAACACACCCAACCTTCTTGCTTTGTAATAGGCTAAGGGAATCTGACAGGTCTGATTTAGAAAGAGGGGGTGGGGGAAATTGAAGCACTGAAAAGTTGCTAATAAGTTCAGGGTCATACGGTGAGTCAGTGGCCAAACCAGGAAAAAACCCAGGGGTTTTGGTGCTGGAAAGAGAAGGCTGACACTGCTTCCCTGCAGATGGCCCGCAGCCCTCACCCACCTGGAGCTGCGTGGCGTAGTGCCCCAGCTTGATCTTCAGTAAGAACCCATCTTCCCCCACTTGGTGCTCCGCCTTCTTCTGCAGCTCCTGCACCAGGTTCTCCAGGAGCTGGGTGGCCTGGGCTCGGTCCTGGGGATTGTCCAGGTCGATGGCATCCCTTGGGGCACCGCAGGAGAGAGAAGCCTACTGTGGTACCTCCTTGGGCAAGGAGGTCAGGCACCAAGAGTGACATGGAATTTCCAGGATCGTGCCCACAAGACTTGTTCCTGGCAGCTCCACAGGCATCAGAGTGTAGAAACATCCCCTCTCCCCTCCCAGACTCCCATTTCCCTGTTCCCCTTTCCCAGGGACACCACCCCTTCCGCACAGACTGGCACAACATACAGGACCAGAATCACACCAAACCACAGAGGAGACCTGAAGACCCGGGGGCCTGGGTGGCAGGGGCCCGCAGAGGAAAGTGCAGGGCAGGGGCACCTACCACGGCTGGCTCTCTATCCACTGCGCTAAGTAATGCCGGACTTCGATGGGGAAGTGCTGCCCGTACAACACCTGCATCTGGCGCAGCGCATCTCCCTGCAGCTGCTGGGCCTGGATCCAGCCCGCCATGTCCGTTCACCTAGGGCGAGCAGAGAGCTGAAGAGGTGCCTCCTTGGCAGAGGCGAGGGCTGGTCTGCGCCTGGCCCTGCCGTGCCCACCCATCCCTGGACCGCGGTCAGGCCAGGCCCCTCCCCTCCCACAGACACGCTTTCCTGTGCGGGAAGAAAGACGGTGAGGAGGGGAAGGCCGCCCTTCCCTCTAGCAAGGAACCCGCTTGAGGCTTGGGGAGGGGCTCCCGAAAGTCAGGTGCCCTCCCCCTCTTCCTCTCCCTTCTCCCCATCGGGGCTTCCCCAGGGGGGGAACAGCTAGAAACTGAAAGAGAAACTTGATGGCGGAGGCCCATGGGCCCTCTGGGGAGGTCTGCAAGAATCCCCCTACCATGCTTCGACCCCCGAGTCCAATTTCTGAGAAAGAGGGATATTCCAGCCCAAAGTTAGGACAAAACCACTGACAGTTCCCACTGGACGGCTCGGCTACCCCGGGCACGTGGCTGGGGTTGTTAAGTAAGGAGGGCAGAAGAGACAAACGCTCCTTCCCTTGGGCTGCGCCCCTCTCCGCCCCCCCAGCTATGCCCCCAAGGTCTCCCACTGTCCAGTCCGACAGCGCCCCCTGCCCATGCGGGCGAGGATGGCGCCCACCCTTCGTCCCCTCCGTCCATCCATCCACGTTCCGCATCCCTTGTCCCTGCTGCGCGCTGCGCCGAAACTCCCTCTCGGTCCCGGGGACGGTTCCCCGTACCCCGCCGACCGACGGACTCCGGGTCCCGGGGCGCAGGGGCCGGGGCAGCAGTCGAGTGCCCCCTCTCGGCGCACGCCGCCGGGGATGCGCGGCCGGGCCACTCACCTAGTCGTGCCGA